TTAAAATAAAAAAAATCATTATAATACAGGCTTTATACAATGAAAAATGTTCTATAAAATTGCTAAAAAATAATTTATACATGTTTAATCTACAAAAATAAGAAAATATAACTTGTTTTTATTATTATTAAATACCTTATTTTAAGAAGTTCAGTAACGAATTTGGATTAAATATATTAACATAAATACAATATTTGATGCCATATTCAGATAAATTATTGAAAACAAAATTCTATCTCGAAGAAGTCATTCTTCAATATTGTCGTCGTCTATTTTTCCATAACAGAATTATTTTGAAATCATTCTGTCCAGAAATACAGCAGAACCTCGAAAACTCGACCTAATGTGGACCGAAGGGTGGCCGAGTTTGTGAAAATGCCGAGTTATCGGGAATGGGGTTAAAAAAAATAAGTACGAGTATTTCCTCAGAAAATACTGTACTGTACTTGTACAGTATTTACTTGTACAGAATATAACAGAGAATAAACTGCCCAAATACCCTTAAACAAAGGAAAAGTACGTCCTTTATGAAGGCATAGAGCCTTTACTACATGAAAATGAAAATTAATGAATACACTGTGTACAGTAATTTACCTGATAAGACAGACCTCAGAAAAATACTTTATGAGAGCTTTTATACTTTTATAAAGCTGTCTATAATGAAAATTAATTAACTAAGGATTTTTTCGCCCTGCCAAGGTGTGGACCAGTTATCCGGAGTGCTAAGTTATCGAGGGACGAGTTTTCGAGGTTCTACTGTATTGACAAAATGTGGAATTAAATTTAAAATATGCTCGAAAATTTTAAATATTTGAAGATGTACAAATTAAAATAATATTAGTTGTTAAATAAATATAATTTTACTGTTTAAGTTCTTGTAGTTTGCAACCACTAATATAAAATGTAACTACAGTAATTTTATAAGTTAGATTAATTCGCATAATAAATAAAATTAGATTAACAATAACTTTAAAAAGCTGAAATAGTGTTATGTAATTACATTACGTTTCACATTTACGTTACATTAATATTATATGTAGTAAAGGCAAAAATTTTAGTTTATAAAAATGTTTTTTATTGATTATTTAAGTTAAAATAACGAAAAAGGAAAATTATTATTAGAAAAGTTAATTTCGTGTGCACTTTTATTAATAGTTTTCACTAAAATAAGCTTTTAAATTATATTTCTTTTATTGAATTTTTTATTTATAAATCTTATCAATCAAAATTTTAAAAATGTTTTAAAAGTTATATATATTAGAGGTATTTCATTTTATAATTTTAAGCATAGAAAAACTGTTAAGTTTAAATTAATCCAGAATTAAATCAATCTAGAGTATGAACATGTTCATCATAATTTTTATCTTCAATACAACTCTAAATACAGTAATCTAAAACTTCAATTTCATAATTTAATTTTGCCATTATTTATATTTTTAAGTAATTGCAGCAAACATGATGCGATGTATAAACCGAAATTTTCCATAATATAAAAAAAATCTAGAGGTTTTTCAACTTCCAGAACTGCTAGAATTTAATCAATGTATTTCCAACATGTAAATATNAACATTTTAATTTTAATCATCTAGTCAATTTAAAAGACAATTTTCGAAACTGTAAAATCGTAAACTTGATTTCCTGTTTAAAATTTCATTTGAATGTCTATAAATATTAGTTTTTAAATTACTTAATATAAGTGTAAATGGTTTACATCTTTCATGGCTTACGCTAATGATTTGTTATATGATAAAATATAATCAAAAAGGCATCAAAATTATTTTATTCTGTTAATCTCCCTTTTTAAACGAAGCAAAACTTCCCTTATAAACTTTCTACGAAACCCAAAGGTTACTTTTTTCAATAAACTTCTAACCTTGTCCTATTATCCCTGATTATTGAGTCATTATTATTGACATCTAAAAAAGACCTTGAAATATCCTCGAATAAATGAATATTATTTTTCTCTGCTTGGCTGATTTCTCCAGAATTTTACTGGCTCTTTTACCTTATATAAATAAAAAGGGGAAATTTGTAGGGGTGTAATAATATATAAAGCACTCGCAACTCGCTTATCTATCGACTTCGCAATAGTCGTGATTAGAACAAGTACTGTACATCACAGATTCGAGATGAAGACTTTGGTAAGTTCTCACCTCTTTTAATGATATAAAAACACAAACTTTTCTAATTTCTTCATTTTATTTTTTAGTTTTTTGTACTTTTCTTTGCCATCTTGGCTACAATCGCTTTTGCTGGATTATATCACGGACATTTTTATAAGCCTTACTATTATGGCTATCCCTATTATCGCCACCACTACTACGGTTATCCTTATTACGGATATAAGAACTATTTTGGATTTGGTTATCCCTTTTACGGATATTATAAAAAGCATTGGTGGTAATTATTGTCTACACGCTTACTTCTAAGGTATGCTCATTAAGTTTTAACTATTTAGAGGTAATATTTAAAGTTTTATATAAAGTATATACTATAATGTCTATACTTACATTTTTCAGGATGCAACTGTATTAACGAATTTTTCAACAAGACCTCTTTATCTACAAATTATCATTCAAATTTTTAAATTTTACTGTTTAAATTTCAAGCTGCTGTAAATAAAATGAATTGCAATAAAAATTTTAACTGTTTTTTTATTTATCTGTTTTATTGTGTGTTAAATGTACACGATAGCCTATTATTTACGATTGATAATCAAAGTTAAGAGACTCTATTAATCAACCATTAACAACTATCACATGTTTTCCTGTAAGGTAATAATGTTTAACAGGGAAAACATTTTGTAATTTTGTACACAATATTTGCGTGAACGTTACTAAAATATATATATATTTTTTACAATTAAAATTGAATATTTAAAAGGTTGTTTAAAACGTATTGAATGTATGTACTGTACTTTTAAAAATAGAAACCATTATTTAAGCTTATCTCCTTCGAATAATGTCGAATCAGCATCATTATATTCGTTTTAATACAGTTTAAATAATATAATGATACTGATGTATATCTAACTTTCTAATATTCTTATATTTATCTATTGAAGTTATTTTGTTGACGTAATAATAGGAATTTAATCGCTTGATATGCCACAGCATATCTTGTTTAATATTTTGTAATACTTTTTGTTTTTATAAAAATAATTAACAAAGCTTTAATTAGATAATAAGAAAAACAAAGTTTTTACTTTTGTTACACGCACAAGCACACATACATATATATAGGAACTTTAAATTGAAAAAAGTTTATAAATAATTCTGTTAATTATTTTAATATCTAAATATTTCTATAAGTGTATAGCCTAGTTTTATTTTCTAAAAAATATACGAAATGTTAAAATATTTTACTACATAAATTAACTGAAAAAATTTTATAATTATTTTTTATTATTTCTTGAAATTATGTAAGGAATTTTTAAGAAGAATTACTTTCTTTCCGTAAGACATAACACAAGGTAGGAGGTATCGAGTTGTATAATTAAGCCTATAAAATTATAATAGTATATGAATGAAAATATGCCTAAAGGAAGCTTTGTTTATTGTTAAAAATATAAACTATAGGCCTATATACACATGTATGTATAGATATTTAATATGTAATCAATAACATGTAACGTCAGACAAATGTTGAGTAAAGGTTTAGCAGTTTATTCAAAAAAAAGTAATGAAACATTTGTAAGAACTTATGAAATTACATTAATTCTGTAATATCTACGTTCTTGTATATAATATTAATAAATCAATTGTTTAATTTTTATCTCTTTAAGGACGATAATATAATTATTTTTCTCAGAGGAAAGTTAACCACACATATACATAATTTATACTTTCCACAAAATCTTTCTCACTTTTAATTAACTTGACAAAGGCAAAGCTTTCACATTTAAAAATAATTATTTTCAGTTACAACAGATTACGAGTAAATTGAAATAAATATACATAAATTTCAAACTTTCCTACATATAGGGCAGAGATTTGGTAGATGTAAACCTTATGAATATATTATTTAAAAAGATATTGTACAGGAAACATTACTGAAAACTTTTTAAAAATTGCGGAAATTATTGTTTTAATTAAAAATAGCACAGAAATTATTGTTTTAATTAAAAATAGCACAGAAATTATATTTATGACTAGAAAGATGAGAGTTCGTTGTTTCTTGCGTTTAAAGAGATATTTCTCAATCTGAAGCAATGTAATCTAATGATGTCATATATTGAATTGCAGAATTGAACTTGTGGTGAATGTCATTTTACCGTTGGTCACGTAATGTTACTAAAGAAAAATTAACAGTCGGATATTGTTATTTAAATATTTTGTAAAATTCTATTGTTAGTATCCTATAAATAGCCATTTTTCAAGTTCAATAATAAACTGTATGCTATAGCCATATTTTATACAATAATAAAATTAATAATAGCATATTAAATTTTATAGCTTTCTGTAATGCTATATTTTAAGACGAAACACGTTTTGGAAAGTTAACAACATTTTAATTTTAATCATCTAGTCAATTTAAAAGACAATTTTCGAAACTGTAAAATCGTAAACTTGATTTCCTGTTTAAAATTTCATTTGAATGTCTATAAATATTAGTTTTTAAATTACTTAATATAAGTGTAAATGGTTTACATCTTTCATGGCTTACGCTAATGATTTGTTATATGATAAAATATAATCAAAAAGGCATCAAAATTATTTTATTCTGTTAATCTCCCTTTTTAAACGAAGCAAAACTTCCCTTATAAACTTTCTACGAAACCCAAAGGTTACTTTTTTCAATAAACTTCTAACCTTGTCCTATTATCCCTGATTATTGAGTCATTATTATTGACATCTAAAAAAGACCTTGAAATATCCTCGAATAAATGAATATTATTTTTCTCTGCTTGGCTGATTTCTCCAGAATTTTACTGGCTCTTTTACCTTATATAAATAAAAAGGGGAAATTTGTAGGGGTGTAATAATATATAAAGCACTCGCAACTCGCTTATCTATCGACTTCGCAATAGTCGTGATTAGAACAAGTACTGTACATCACAGATTCGAGATGAAGACTTTGGTAAGTTCTCACCTCTTTTAATGATATAAAAACACAAACTTTTCTAATTTCTTCATTTTATTTTTTAGTTTTTTGTACTTTTCTTTGCCATCTTGGCTACAATCGCTTTTGCTGGATTATATCACGGACATTTTTATAAGCCTTACTATTATGGCTATCCCTATTATCGCCATCACTACTACGGTTATCCTTATTACGGATATAAGAACTATTTTGGATTTGGTTATCCCTTTTACGGATATTATAAAAAGCATTGGTGGTAATTATTGTCTACACGCTTACTTCTAAGGTATGCTCATTAAGTTTTAACTATTTAGAGGTAATATTTAAAGTTTTATATAAAGTATATACTATAATGTCTATACTTACATTTTTCAGGATGCAACTGTATTAACGAATTTTTCAACAAGACCTCTTTATCTACAAATTATCATTCAAATTTTTAAATTTTACTGTTTAAATTTCAAGCTGCTGTAAATAAAATGAATTGCAATAAAAATTTTAACTGTTTTTTTATTTATCTGTTTTATTGTGTGTTAAATGTACACGATAGCCTATTATTTACGATTGATAATCAAAGTTAAGAGACTCTATTAATCAACCATTAACAACTATCACATGTTTTCCTGTAAGGTAATAATGTTTAACAGGGAAAACATTTTGTAATTTTGTACACAATATTTGCGTGAACGTTACTAAAATATATATATATTTTTTACAATTATAGTGAATGCTATTAAATAAATAATATTTATGCTTGATAAATCAGAGAATTATTTTGCTTTCGGGAAAATGAGACTGAATTTTTATACAAAAATCTTAATTTTGACTTCAAATTTGAGCACTAGACATACATTACAACAATTTTAAGTGATTTAAATGCTATAATCAGGTTATTCAGAAAGTACTTTCATTTTTAAGCTGAATTTTTAATTTATTTTGGTTTTCTTCTATTTTATGGATAGCATTCTTCAATTGCAACTATAAAAAAAGCTGGCAAAAGCACTTACACAAATTTTCAGACACTCGAACAGAAAGTTAAAGAAACCAAAAAAAGAAATCCGATAATTTTCAATTATAGATTCTAAAAGTTAGAAAAAGGATAAAAGTCTTATTTCGAAATTGAGGTTTTACGAGGTATAAACTTATAAATGACAATAATATTTGTTTTTAATAAGCTAAAAGTCGTACAAGTAAAATTTTCATAATGTCTGACTTCACTCGAGATATCATCTCCTCACTCTCACCTACTCCTTGATTTATTATCTGCAAAATATATCCTCATATGTAAAATATTCCTGTCAAATTTCAAAATATTTGGTTTATAGAATCCTGAGATATAACACAAAATACAGGCTAACACACACATAAATATACATAACCACATATATACAAAATTATGTTGGCTTTTCTTGTTTTTGGAATTAGGGGATCTTAAAAAGTCGAGAAATACAAAAAAAAAAAAAAAACCTGGAGGTTTCATAATACTTTCTCTTTGCTACTTTAACAGCCGGAAAAGTCTCATTTATAATGAAAAGCTTAAAATAATTGTCACTTAATGACATTATAGAGTGCGTTAATAATGGTTTCTCATATAATCATACAGTAAAAGTATAAAAAACTTGCTAAGCACCAATTGAATTTAAAATAAGAAGTAAGAAGTTTGTAAATAAGGGATTTAAGAAATGTCTGTATTTTGTTTTATTTTAATTTTTTGAATCTTAATTTATCGACTTGGAGAAGAAGCCGTATAATAAATTTCACTAAGATTTATGAATATAAATTTTTTTAAATTTGTTTTTTGCTTTCTCTACTTGTAAATCAGTCATCTAAAACCTATGTAGAAAATATTCAAGTGAAAAATATTATTCTCTAATAAATAAAATGAACGATTTTAAAGATTTTATTTATTAATAAAAAAAATCGAAAAATTGATATTCTTATCGGAAAAGAATTGCCAGGAAAGAATAAAAATATAAATTTTTATTTATAGTATTTAACTGGCTGCAAGGACCCGCTTCGCTGGGTTGTTATTTGTGGGCAAAAAGTAACGATAGTGAAGATTAAGATAATTACATTATAGCCAATCTTACCCGTTTTCACAAAATGCAAGAATTAGGTCTCCCCTTTCCAGACGTTTCCAGAGAATTTTTACATGAGCATAAAAATATGTTCGATTTCCCGCAAAAGCGCAAAAAACCGTCTGTAAATCTTGCATGCCGCTTTATATTAACACTTCCTGGTCCCGATTTTATTTCTGAACGTCTCCTGTTCACGTCAAGTCAAACGAACTATTTTCAACGTTTCTGGAACGTTTACGATCGTTCTATAATCGAACCAATATTCAAATTTTATGTTCGAATTTAATTCGAATATTGTTCGAATTAAATTCGAACAAATTCGAACAAAACATTCGAAATAGAAAGCCACTTTCAACCACTTTCAGCCTCATATCTCCCGCACCCTTATAGCTATCG